CCCAGATTTGATTGCTGAAAAAGTTTGAAGAACTTCCCAATTCCCATCAGAACTATAGGGGGAAAGCATAATATATTATATCAGCTAATTAATATACCTCGAAAACATATTTAACGGCAAAAATAGAGAGGATATGCAACTTTTCACCTTTATTATTGGAGGAGTCTGGTTCCAATTGTAGCAAAGAGTGGCCTAACCAATCCTGCGAACAAAGCCCAACTCTTATCAGATCAAATAGCATGCAAGTCGGTAATGCTCTGTTTTGTAACCCAAGGAAAATCTTATGCAAGCATCTCAATCTCCATATCTAAGCTTTACACAAAAAGCACATGCACAACATTTTACTTCGATAACACATAGCTCAGCTCTTATAGTGTTGGTCCAAAGCACAAATAAGTGATTAGATTGTTAGGGCAGTGCTGTTTGGTGTTCAGACAAGAGAATGATCAAGGTAGCGATGGAATAAGGGTGAATCAGCTAAGCTAGAATGATCAACGTGCACTGGTGAACTTTGTTAGGGCTGTGCTGCTAACTTTAAGTTCATACAGCAATGGACAAATTCAACTATGGCTCTCTGTATACCAAAGTTTTAAAGATGCGTGCTTATAAATGGGACTCAAATGACATTCATTGAAAAGTAGCAGTTAGTTGACAAAGAAGAAAAGACCCAAAAATTGACATCCCCATGAATGAAGCGAATGTGAAGGTTTGCCCATCAAACCAACGAAAGACCACAAGGAAGAACCAATAAAAGATGACAGTCTCCTAATGCAGGTAATGATAGATTAATCTACAAAGTTCCAAGTTCCAACTAGATAAACAACTTGTGCATATACAGATTCCTATTGGAAAATATTTAGCTCTGTAAAGAATGATTCAGCCAGAATAAGGACAACAAAGGTCATCATTTGAAACCAACATCCCTTTCCCCTGAAGATTGAATGTCCTATTCACAACAAAACCCTAAAACATGACTAAATGACAAGAGATATAGAAGCTAATGAGAGCGCGCAAAAAGATAAGAATAGAAAGCTACTGATCGTCGGAGAAGAGCGCATGCGAGAGAGATAACCTTATCAGCCAGAACGAAAGAGATCGAAAAATCGCATCGAAACGAGAGAGAGACGGGAGAATCGCGTCGGAACAAGAAAGTGCGATCGGAGAACCGCGCCGAAGTGATTTCTCGAGAAAATCCTCCAGATCGAGATCGCGAGAGAGAGCGATCGTAGAATCACGCCGAGTGATTGCGAAAAACCCACCGGATCGAGAGAGAGATCAGAAAATCTTATGAAATGATTTTGAATTCGTTTACCCTGTCTTACTGATTTAGAAAAAAGAGAATGAAATTGAGCTGGAAAGAACGAAACCAAAAAGGGGGTTTCTGGACTGGGAAACGAAACTGTGAGGTCTCTGGATTGTGTATTAACTAATTATATTATGTCTATAACAGGGGTTCATGAACCCTTGCAACAAACCGTTGCAAGAGTAAGTTTCAAAAAAGCTAGAAAGGGTTTACTAAACCCTTGGTATAGAACCCTCGGTATAAGTCTGTTTTTTAGTAGTGTATGTATATTGATATATTATATAGGACTTGTTTTTTGGGTCACTTATAAAATTATTCACAAATGTATAGGGAAAAATATGGATTGAGGTGTAACGATCCGATTGTTTTTGGTGCTATTGTTTTAGTCCGGTTAATAATTAACACATAGCATTACACTCAAATAACAGGCGAACAGGAAAATAAAAAATAAGTTACAATTGACAAATTAAAATGAAAAACGACACCTTGTAACCTCCAACTAAAGGACCATTGATGTGAGTTAACCTGTTGGAGTTTTGAGGATTTTAACCTAGTTAAGGCGGATTTGATCACTATTCCGACAATCCTTTAAACAGGCGTTTATCTTTAAATGTACTATGGGAAAACTCAATAGACTTTATTGTCTCTAGAATTAAGGCTAATTATCATAAATAGTCACAAAACTATTAGTTTAGTACAAAAGAGGAATTTTACGATGCTATATAGCATTGGTGCTAAAGGTTTTTATTTTTATGGTACAACTTGAAATTGTACCTTTAACGTTATAGTACAATTTCAGATTGTACCTATACTTTTTGTACAAATTCTTTTAGGGCTAATACTACTACAACACCCGAACTATCGAAGAAATGTCACTTGTGTACTATTCTTTTCAATATTCCATTTATGTCTTGAACCATTTTTCCGTTGGTGTAGACCGAGTTTGACCGTCAATATTTAATAGAAAATCTAGTCAGCGTCGACGTGGCATCTGATGTGGAATTTTTAATCTTATTTTTTTTAACTTTTTATGTAAAATAAAACAAACCAAATAAATACCCCTCAATCGCTTTCTCCACATCTCCTCCCGCCGGGAGCCCTCTTTGGGAATATGCGGTGGACTTCTAATTCTTCTTCTTCTCTGCATCATGCGAAGTGCGGTGAGCAACCCTCATCGTCAATCATCGTCAACATCCGAACTCGTATGCTTATCTGCAATGCTCCACATCTCCAAATCAGCAAAATCCTGGCCGAAATTTGGGCGGAATTCTCTCTCCAGATCCCTAACGGTTTGGGGAATCCCTCTCCAACACTCTCAACCTGTTCAATTTCCTATCTGGGCAAATTCTCAAATCACTCGAGAATCCAGCGGTGACGGGTAAGCTTCAATTTCAAAGTTAAGGGAAGAGGAAAGGCGGGAGTGGTTGCATAGCCAAATCTCCCGAACGACATGCCTCAATCAACACTAACACAACGTCGTAGGTAGAAATAGCTCAGTCGTTTTCCGAATCGGCAGTGATAGCTTCCACTAGGGGTGGCTATACGGTCCGGTCCGGTTAAATTGGCCCAAATTGATCCGGTCCAGTCCGGTCTTTTTGAAAATATAAGGACCAAAGATTGGATTGGATACAATCCTGTCTTGATCCGGTCCGGTCCCAACTCGGTCTTGATTTTATATTGAGCTTGTGGGGATTTGAGTGGCCTAAGGTCTGAAAGGGTGAGGAGTTGGTTAAGTTTTGTACTAAGTGCAAAGGTTTGTGACCCTTTATGCAAATTACCTTTAAGTTTTGGGTGTTGAGCTCTCTTATCCGGTCTTTATCCAGTTTTCGATCCGGTCCCGAATGGTTTTTTACCTCAAATCTAAGCCTAAAGATTGGATTGGATTGTTTACTATTCAGTCCCGGTCCGGTCTCGGTCCAGGTTATACGGTCCGGTTTTGGGTAAAACCAAAAAACCCGGACCAAATAGCCAGCCCTAGCTTCCACAGCCACCGTCGCCTTCTTCTTCTCCTTCAACGTCATCGATTCGGATTCAAGAACTCTCAACTGCTGTGGCATCATTGTGAAGCGGATAATTGCGGAGGAGGGATTCCGCAACAACTGCGGCGGAGGATTTGAGGTCGAAGATTGGAGAGGAGCCCGAGAGAGAGAGAGAGAGAGAGAGAGAGAGAGAGAGAGAGAGAGAGAGAGAGAGAGAGAGAGAGAACTGAAGGGGAGACTTTGTTCCTCTGTTGTTCATCATCATCCCTCTCTCCTCTCCCATCTCCGCCTACTACTTCTTTCGGCCGCCGAAGCTGTTCCACTGGCTGTATCAGAATCGGAGCTTTGTCGTCTTCCAGATGGAAAGGGTTAAGGAAGCGAGGTCGATGGAAGAGCAGCTTGTCGTGGGGGAAGGCGGCGGCGAGATATCGTTGCCGTAGATGCTGATTCGCTGAAGGGATTTGAAGGCGGCGACGATGGCTAAAATTGAGGGTGGGGGTAGGGTGGGGAGCGGGTTGAATGCGACGGTGGGTAGAAAGTTTCTTTAATTATTTTTCATTTTAATTTGATTTTGAATTAAAAATATATGTGGTATGATGTGGCATCTACATGGATGCCACGTTTCCTTCCATGTCAGCAAAAGTCAACATCTCTTTGACCACCGTCAGGTCAACCGTTAGAGATAACGGTCAACGAAATCTCCAGGATACAAATGACACAAAGTATCATAGTTCAGGATAGAAATGGAATATTGAAAAGAATAGGACACAAGTGGCATTTCTTCGATAGTTTGGGTGTTGTAGTGGTATTAGCCCATTCTTTTATGATACAACTTGAACTTGTACCTTTATGTGATGGTACAACTTCAAGTTGTAAAGTTGCACCATAACATAATGGTACAAATTCCTTTATGGTACAACCTAAACTTATATATTTAATGTTATGGTACAACTTTAAGTTATACACTAAAGCACCAATGTTATATAGCATAGTAATAGTGCTCAGTACAAAATGGTTATAAACCTTTAATTTTGCACGTTTCAATAACATATGTTTGGACTAATAACAACAAGGTAATTCTGTCTATGTCCATCCAAAAAATCGTTACTTTCGTCCAGTCAGCATGCCACATCATTTAAAATATTAATAAAAAAATTTAATGACCAATCTAGTATTAGAGTTCTCATATTATCTCCTCCTAAAATAAAAATATACTTGATCCAAAAATTCAATCAACTTCAATATTATTTTAATATTGAATTGGAGTGAATGTTTTCTTTTCACTAATCGATAATTGTTAGACCTGATTAAGTAAAAGTAGTATAATTTCAAGAATCAGAATTGAAGGGGCTATTCATTGTGTTGATCTAACACCGTAGAAGTTAAACTTAAGAACTCAATTGTTTAAGAGATAATGACTACCCCAGAAAATAAAATTCATGACAAAAAAAAATACACACATAATAGTTAAGAATTATAACTTATGACAAAATAATCAAGGATTGTTTAATATGGATCATCCAATTTATGTTTACACAATAAAAAATAATAGAGGTTCATAGGAAAGAACCACATCTAACGTAAACATGTTTCTTACAAAATCATAGAGCATACCTTCTTTTCTTATATGATTCATATCTAAACGGAACAAAGCACCAACAAAACACCTTATACAAATGAATATATATATATATATATATATATATATATATATATATATATATATATATATATATAATTATCTACTCCCATTTTGTCCTAAATTGATGAATATGCTTAAACTCATAACTCATCAGAAAACCACCACCCATTCTCCTCAACACAAATCTCTCCACCAGCACAAAATACCCAAACCTCTTCCAATTGTTGATTCCACCACCACCTCCAAACTCCTCAACTTTCTTCACCCTATTCTTCCCACCCTCACCACTTCTCCACCCAACTCTTTCCTCCTCCCACTTCATCCTCTCCACAATCACCTTGCTCAACCCAACCCTCATCCCTTCCTCCCCTGCATTATTGTCCAATCCCACCCTCCTAAACCAAACAACTCCATCATTTTCTCCAACCTTATGCCCCACCACATCCCTTTCACCAACTCTCACCGTTTCAGTCTCAACCAAAACATCTATATTCACGAACGAGTTAGCATTTCCTTCGACGTCATTGTTGCATCTAAAAATCGGCTCCCACCGCTGCTCCAACGTCATCTCGTAGAATCTCGAACGATCGACCTGATCCTGAACACCCATTCCCGATTCCTTAACGAACAAGAAAGGACAGTACCATTTCCCCACCACCCTGGGCACCGAAACACGATCAGTTTTCTCACCGGACAACACGGAGTTGAAATCCGGAAGGCGAGCTCGAAGGTTCGAATCCACGCCCAGAGCTTCATCCAGCTTGAGATCCCGAGATTTCGAAGTATGGAGCGTCCAGCCTTCTCTTCTCAGAAAAAGAGGAGGGAATCCACCTCCAGCGACAGATTTGGCATGGTAACCAGAACCTCCATGCCAATAACGACGCCGGGAGATCTCGAACTGCTGGTGAACATCCTCTCCGTGCGGCTCAAACGGCTCCGGCTTCCGATCCGAGATACAGCTGCAGAAGCAGCAAGTTGTCATCTCCTCCTCCGTCGAGTTTCTATAAGCTTCCCTGAACCAAATGGAACCAATTTGTAATTAGCACCACAACATTACCCCTACCTGTAAAAATTTACAATCTAGTCCTCACTCTTTTCGTTAGTCTACATATTAGCCCCTCTGTTTTTTTTTTCTTCCGCTTTTTGCTTTCTTACTCTCTGAGTTACAGAAAGAACAGAGCATTTTACTTACCCTTTGTGCTTCCCATCCTGCTTGATCACGTAGTAACGATTAGCAGAGAGCGGGTGGTCGAGCGCAGGGATGAAGACGACGCGGTCGGTTTCGACGTGCGAGTACAATCCAATTGGCTGGACGAATCGAACTTGGAGGTTCTTGTTCTGAGGGCAGGGCAGGTCCCTGACCCGGCTGCTGTTCACCAGCCCGCAGCACCTCTTCGGCTGAGATTCTTCGTCTTGGATGACCAGCACGCCGGAGTTCGGGCCTTCTGGAGGCGGCGAGGAAGCCGCCGAAGGGTTCCTTCTGTACAGAGAAAGAGGGCGAGTCACATACATTGCTTTTTTTTTTTTTTTTTTTTTTGTGATGGTGGTGTGATTGCAGGGCTAATGATCAGAATCTCGCTCTGGAGTTGCTTTATTGTGAGAGTAGCTATAGAATGAATGAATGAATGGTCCTTATTATATAGGGGCATATTAAGTTGAATAGTATAATGATCCTCTGTTAGATAGCTTGTTCCCGCGCGGCGAGGGAAAGTTCATCATGCGTGCCAAGTCAAAGTCAAGGGATACTTACGTAGTTGTTTTTTTCTTTTCTTCTTCTTCTCTTGAAGTGGTCTACGGGTGCTGACTGCATTTCTTGCATTGACTTGTGAAAAGGATTGAAGATGGGAACTTTCGTAGAATTGATACAAAACAAATGGGATCTTTCAAGAGACCGGTTATTTTAACAACACCCATTGTGTTGTTATTGTAACAACACTAGTCTCCAACCAATAGGAAGCTAGGATTGTGATGACTTTTTATTAAATGAGTTGACCTAGTGTAAAATCAAAGCAGGGGTATAATTGTCATTATGAAAAATCTATTTAAATAAAAAATAAAAAAATAAAAAATAAAAAATAAATTTTTTTTATTTTCTGCCCAAAAATTTGGTCGTCGGAATTCTGCCACCGGTCGTCGGAAAATGGTCGCCGGTCACCGGAATGTGCTTTTGGTCGCCGGAATATGCTATTTTGTGGCCGGAATATGCTTACCGGAGTCGGAATATGCTTACCGGCGTCGGAATATGCTTACCAGCGTCGGAATCTAGTCACCGGGGCCGGAATATGCCTATCGGCGTCGGAATCTGCTCACTAACGGTCACCGGAGTTCGGTCAACGGTCTTCGTTGACCGGTCAACGGTCAACGACCACCGAATGTTATGGTCTGCATTGTGAGATTTATGGTTTGGTTTCTCATATTTTTTTATGCCTTTTATGGTTTGTTTTATTGTGTTTGTGGTTTGCATTGAGAAGTTTCTGGTTTGTTTTCAAAAACTTTGTGGTTTGCATTGTGAGGTTTCTGGTTTGTTTTAATATATTTGTGGTTTGCATTAGGACGTTTATGGTTTGCTTTTTTGTGGTTTGATTTACTATGTTTGTGGTTTGCATTAGGAGGTTTTTGGTGTGCTTTCGCAAATGTTGTGGTTTGCTTTGTGAGGTTTGTGGTTTGTTTTAGGAGATTTGTGGTATGCATTAGGAGGTTTCTGGTTTGCATTAAGAAGTTTCTGGTGTGCTTTCGAAACTTTTGTGGTTTGCTTTGCGAGATTTCTGGTTTGTTTTAATATATTTGTGGTATGCATTAGGACGTTTTTGGTTTGTTTTACCGTGTTTGTGGTTTGCATTACTGTGTTTGTGGTTTGCATTAGGGGGTTTCTGCTGTGCTTTTCAAAATATTTACGGTTTGTTTTGTGGGATTTCTGATATGTTTTAGCAAATTTGTGGTTTGCATTAGGAGGTTTACGGTATGTTTTTTGTGGGTTATTTTATTGCGTTTGTGATTTGCACTAGAGAGTTTTTGGTGTTAGAAATATTTGTGGTTAGAAATATTTGCTTTCCTACTGCTAGCCCCCTTTGCTTATGTACTCGAAAAGTAAAGACTATCAAAGCTGCTACAGCAGCCATTATAGGACTGTTCCAAGTCAGGCTCTCCAGGACTGTTCCAAGTCAACTCGTTAATTTTCCAGAGAGGGAGATTGATTCAATATTATTCAACAAGAATTGCTATTAAATAGTAGAGTATCTGTATGAAAATTGCGTCATTTGTTTTTGTAGAAAGAAACTTGCAGTCATCTATCTAATCCGGTACCCTGAAAGCGTACCTGGAAAAGCACCGCCGGAAGAAGCTCCGGCTGCGGAAAGTGGTTGCGATTCCACATGCACTCTCTCCCTCATCGACATCGCTATCCTAGAACCGATACTTGCTCGCCTCGGCTACAACAATACCACCACAAAGTAAATCTCCTATTAACTTAATTCATCCCATACACAATTAATTATCATGGGTTCCATAGCCAACGAGAACAATGAGACGTCGACGTCGCTGCTGATCAGCGGCTTCACCGTGACGGTGGTGAAGAATGAGCTGGTGGCGGCCGCGCTGCCGGTTCAGGAGCATTGGCTCCAGCAGTCCAACCTCGACCTGCTCGTGCTGCCGTTGGACGTCGGGGTATTCTTCTGTTACTCCACGGCGCCGGCGGGCGGCAGGATGCCGAGGTGGCCGGGCTGAAGAACGAAGACGCGTCTGATAAGTATTTTTATTTTTTTCTATTATTTAATGGTCATTTTACTATATTGTCCTTGTTGTTATAATAACAACAAATAGACTGTTGTTATACTATCCGGAGCCTTCCAATGATCTGCCCTACAAAAGTTTTTTTATTATTATTATTATTATTATTATTATTATTATTATTATAACAGAATACGAAGTTGATTAACATTATTGTTATTAATAATGACGAAACTTGAGGGCGTTTCGTTGGAATTCTTCGTTGTTACTATACATTATTAGTTATAAATGTCAATAAATAAATATATTATTAATTATAAGCTAACACATTATCTTACTTTTCTAAAACTGTATGTACACACAAAAAAAAGTGAACTGTAAAAAGAATCTAAATTCTCTCACAAATATGATTGTATATGACATAAATACATTTGAATACGCAACACTTAGGATAATAATTGTAACATTGATTGGGTGGCGTATCTACGGGTAGCATAACCGAAAACTCACACCCAACTCAAGAGAGGCGGGTTCCACAAAAGAAAATTCTTACCCAACCTCAAATCTTAGTGATAAATAAGGGTGATTTGATCGGATCAGATGAGTGGGCCAGGTTACGATTATTTTTATTCGCCCTCGTGCTATGAGTCGTTATTATATAATGGTTCATAACTTGGATTGCTCACCTAATTATTTCCCAAGAATCTATATTAGAAGCTATGGAACAGTATGCATCTTGACGGTTGTTGTAATTTTGATTAGAAGATTATCTCTTTAGTATCATGTTTACCATACTCAAGAAATGTAGCCCATCATTGGTTTTGAAAATGCAAACTCCCTTCACTAATAGGGAAGGCACATTCAAAATACTATGATCATCGTTCACACATGGATAAACCAATTTATTTATGAAATATTATCACACAATAGTCATGATAATTATGCAATATTTTTACACACCGATAATCCATTTTATGTTTACCTCTAGAGTTGACCTTTTCAGCATTAAGGGTCATATCTAAACTGTACAAAAAGCATACATAAAATCCACACTATATATAATAGAAATTCAAGGACCTATTCCCATTTGGTCCTAAATGGATGGAGATGCTTAAACTCATAGCTCATCACAAAACTTCCATCCATTCTCCTCAAGACAAACCTCTCCGCCAACACAAAGTACCCAAATGTCCTCCACTTCTTCATTCCAATTCCTCCAAACTCCTCAATTTTCTTCACTCTATTCTTCCCTTCCTCACCACTCCTCCATCCAACTCTTTCTTCCTCCCATTTCATTCTCTCCACAATCACCTTACTCAACCCAACACTCACCACTTCCTCCATTCCATGATCATTCTTGCCCACACTCTTAAACCAAACCACTCCTCCATTCACCCCAATCAAATGGCCCACAACATCACTCCCGCCAACTCTCACAGCTTCAGCCTCGACCAAAACATCAACATCCACCGACGAATTGGTATTTTCTTCAATGTTGTTGCACCTGAAAATTGGCTCCCACTGCTGCTCTAAGGTCACCTTGTAGAATCGATCGAATGACCTGATCTTGAACATTCATTCCCGATTCTTTAACAAACAAGAAAGGAGAATACCATATTCCAACCACCCTAGGCATCGATGACTTGCCATCGGACAACGAGAAGTCAAAATTTGGAAGTTGAGCTCGAAGGTTGGAATCCAGACCCGGAGCTTCGCCTAGCTCGAACTCTCGGGGAGTAGAGGTGTGGAGTCTCCAGCCTCTTCTCCTCAAGAAAAGAGGAGGAAATCCATCTTGAGCTACAGAGCTGACAGTATAGCCGACAGATCCACACCAGTTGTCACGACGAGAGACCTCGAACTGCTGGTAAGTATCTTCTCCTAGTGGCTCAAATGGCTCTGGCTTTAGATCCGATATACAGTTGCAAAAGCAAAATGTTGCCATGTCTTCCTCTGTTGAGCTTCTATATGCTTGCCTGACCAAGGAACCAATTTGTTACAACTCTGATAAATGTAAAAGTTAATGAAGCATACATGATACAACTTTAAGTCAATGGTCAACGAAGTTCCTTTAACCAATGAACATAATTTAGAGTCGTTTGGGTCAAAGATTTGGACCCTAAAGTCGACACTAGTGGGATTTGACCAAATCCAATGTTCAGGTGTATAAAAAAAATGGGTACCCAAATTCATAGAGATTTTGGTACTAAATCTATGAGATTCAAGGATTTGAAAATTTTACATAATTTGGTGAGATTCGAAGGAAATGATCAAATCCTTGATACTAAATAAACCAATCCTTCATAAAATTCAACTTACAAACAATAATTTTCTCAAATTCTAGATCATTACCCATCCTTCATTTTCTAAATCCCCGAAATTGATACAACTTCATTTTTCAAATCTTTCATCCCCTAGAGTTTCTTTTCCGTTTTACTTTTACCTAAGATCTAATTACTCCCCATTTTTTTACAATTTGGACCTATTAGTCCCTGTAGTTTGAATATAGTACAAATTAATCTTTGCGAGAAAAGAACAGAACAGAGCATTTGCGTACCCTTTATGCGTTCCATCCCGCTTGATCACGTAGTAACGATTCGCAGAGAGAGGTCGGCCGAGGACGGGGACGAAGACGACTCGGTGGGTCTCGACGCGGCGGTGCTCCCCGGTTCGCTTGGTGTAGCGAACCTGGAGGTTCTTGTTCTGTGGGAAAGGCAGGTCCGTGACTCGGCTGCTATTCATCAACCCGAACAAGCAAGTTGGCTGGGCTTCTTCATCTTGGATGACTAGCACGCCGGAATTCGGGCCTTCTGGAGGTGGCAATGACGCCGCCGATGGGTCCCTTCTGTACAGAGAAAGCGGGCGAGTCACATACATGTTTGTTCTTTCGGGAGAAAGCTTGCTGGAATTTGTTTGGATAGATACATGGATCAATGAATGAGATCCTTGTTAATATACTTGCAAAGCGAAGGAGTTGGTAAAGTCAACTCGAGGGATCCTACGGAATCACAGTTTGGAACACGCAAGTGTGCTGCTCCTCGGTGTTAGTCAACGGCGAGGAAACTGGTTATGTAATTTACAGGGTCGGTCAACTTACGGTATTGGTCTGGTCAACAAAGTTTTTTTGGGCACTAAACAAATTGGACATGTATTTTCGTTAACAAAAATGTCTAGGGTAATTGGAATAAGTATCATTAATTATTCGTTTGAGTTATTACAATTATAAATTGGTGTGCGCGCGACTAACTCAGATTAATAATAAAAATGTTGTATAAGTATACCATACATGTACTTTCAAGTGATGTGATTGTTGGATGTAATTTGTTGTGCTTCGGTACATCAGAATCATTGATTATTATTATTTACTTAAATTAATTTTCGGGTTTTAAGTTTAGAGAAACGATGTTAGAAATTAGGGTATAATAGTGTAACCTAAAATCGATTTGATTTTTCATTTACACATAGAAATATTTTAATGGAATTATCTGATATATATATATATATGGCAAAGGCTAGCGTACGCCCAGACGTACCCTAGCCTACCGTACGCCCGTTGAGTTTTTCTATTTAGACAATAAATTAATCGGAGTTTGGGGCACGATACTATACCCTAACCCCTAATGGGTGAACCCCAGTCTGCAATTCACTAACCCAAATAATAATATTCATTTAATCTTGAAATGAAAATCAACGGTTCTGATTCGTCGAAATTATTGTTGATTTTCATTTTAAGATTAAACAAATCTCATGATTTGGGTTAGAAAATAGGGACTGGGGTTTTATCCTTTAGTGGTTAGGGTATAGTATCATGACCAAAACTCCGATTAATTCTTGATCTAAATAGCAAAACTCAAACGGGCGTACGGTAGTCTAACGTACGCCCGGGCGTACGCTAGCCTGAACCATATATATATATATATATATATATATATATATATATATATATATATATATGGCGAGTTCTACGGTACCCAGGGTGAAATCCGGGGTACCGCATACCTTGAGTATGAAAACACTATCTAGTCATTGAATTAATTCATCTTTTGGACATGATGCTATACTCTAACCCTTAAAGATCAAAATCTAGGTCTTAGTTCTCTAAATCTTATACCCCAAGATCAATTTAATTAGAAACAAGAATCGACGGATATGATTCGTCCAAATATAGGCAAAAAGATGAATGCTCCATCTTAGGGTTTATAGTTTATGATTTAGATAATTAGGACCTAGGTTTCACTCATTAAGGGTTAGGGTATAGTATCAAGCCCAAAAATTCTGCTAATTCGAAATCTACATAGTGTTTTCATACTCAAGATATACGGTACCCTGGATTACACCCGGGGTACTGTAGAAGCCACCATATATATATATATATATATATATATATATGGTGGCGTCATTCTGACCATGCGATTCATGTCAAAACGGTATCAATTGTTGCGAACAAGAAGCACATGAATTTGAAAAAAATTCATTCAAAATTTACTTTAATTTGAAGGATTTAGGATTTAGGGATTTAGGGTTAGGGTTTAGGTTTACAATTTGAGATTTTGGGTTGGGATTCAAAATTGAAGGTTAAGGGGTTAGGGTAATGGATTGATTTGTTATGATTCTATGTCATATCATCATATTATATTGAGAGTACTAATTAAAGTTCAAAATTTGATGTATTATCAACGCTTTTAGAGACCAAAAAAATGAGTGCCCCGAAGTAGCCACCTATAAGGTGACGTATATTCCTGTAAAAAAAAGGCATAATTGAGATGGCCACGTCTTTACATTCACATTGCTCAACAATGACGAAGATGATCATTCCTTGCCATTGAGGGAACACATCTTTCATTCTCTTGATTATTGACAGTACTTTTGATCAGATTGAAGTTGAAGAGTGAAGACCTCTATATTCATTAATATATAAAGTTCGATATTTCTTTTAAATATAGTCAAAATATACTTATATAACCATAACTATTGCGTTTTTGTCAAAAAGAGCCATTTTTGAAGAAATGCACAAAATAGCCACTTCCATCCAATTCTTTGACGGTGTTAACAAACGTGCTGACTATGCTAACGGAAAAGCTGATTTGGCGACAGTTTTGTCAATAATAATGTGATGTGGAATTAATTGAAAAATAAAAATAAATCAATAAAACATTTTAAATTTTCTCCTCCCCTCTCTCTGCTTTTCCCATCTGTTCTCCGCTGCCGATTATCTCCATATCTCCACCAGCGGATCTCCCTCACCGCCACTACCCCCACCCCTCCACCTAGACTATGAAATTCACAGGCCCGCCAAGACGATTCCACAGCTGGCGCTAGCGGTCACCATCGCCCAACCATCCCACTTGTCGCTAAACTAGATCTCTCTCCATCAGTAGTGAAGTTCACGTCGACAACCGAAGTCGGGAAGAAGGGACGGAGATTTGAAATCAATGGCGAAGATGGATTCCAATGGAGCAGGCTCGTCTTACTGCTCTGAGGCCACACCAGATCTAAGTAGACACATAGGTGACAACGGACGAGAGGAGAGGTACTCTGACCCTCGATTTGTGTCGGAGCAGGGGTGGAGCGACGAAACTCTGACCCTCGATTCGCGTAGGAGATAGGGATTTGGGGTCGGGAATTAGATCGATGCTTGACCTAGGTGGACTGAGACGATTTAGCTTTCCCGGCGAACGACGTTTTAGGGTCTTCAGTTTCTCGATCTGGAATCGACTAGTGCTCGACGGCGACGTCAGGATCTGGATATTCTGAAGGTTGTGTCGATAGAGTTCCAGTTCTGATTTCTTCGAAACCATGGGTTTTAGATACAGAGACGAGGGACAGATCTGTCGTTCCGCAGTAGATCGCCGCTTGAACTTAGCCATTTCTCGATTGCGAGTTTTATTTGAGCAAACCAGGTGGTGAGGATAATGCACAGACTAGATATGTGAATGGAAAAGTTTTGGAGATTTGGAACGAATCAATTCAAGACAATAATTGAGGGAATGGTCGCCGGTGAGGGAAGGGTTTGAGACGTGGTGCTGGGTAGTGGGGATGGGATTTTTTGGGGGATTTTTGTTTGTTTTTTTAGGTTTTATGTGGCTGACATGGCATCTACGTGGCAAGTCAAGTCTAGTTGTTACTTATGTGTGCGTCAAGGTGGCATCCTAATCAGCCTAATGTCAACTTAACTGACGGAATTTCTAACACCGTTAAAGTTTGTAACGGAAATGGCTATATTTGTCAAACAACATTTGAAATTCTGACTATTTTGTGTATTTCTTTACAAGTGATTATTATTGTCACAAACGCGAAAATTATGGCTATGCAAATGTATTTTGCCTTAAACATATACCATTTTCCATTATAAAAAGGAAACAAAACTTCAGAACGTGTCGACCTCCATGGAGCAGCACATGAAACTATCAAGTTCAAGTGGTAATCTCCTATCTTCCGATATATGAGCATTAATGATTGGGAGCCTGATATACTTGACGTGTACTCAACTAGATATGTCTTATGCAGTTCAGATAGAGAGTTAATTTATGTCATCTCCTCGGACTTACCATATTGATGCAGTTCACCACATTCTTCGCTACCTGAAAGGCACATCTCAGGTTGGATTGTATTTTTGTTCTTATGGTACAACTTCTCTTATAGCTTTTGCAGATGCAGATTATGGTGGGTGTCAAGACAATGGTCGGTCAACATTTGGTTGGTATGTTAAATTTGGCTTTTCTATTATCTCGTGGCTTTGTAAGAAGCACGATCTGGTTGCGAAGTCCTCTATTAAAGCCGAGTACAGATTTATGTCTGACATTAACTCCGAGCTAGTCTAATTGATTGGTTACTTGCCGAGTTGCAGGTTCACTGTGAGATTCCCGATCATATGTTTGATGACAATATGAGTGCTATACATATTGCTATGAATCTTGTACTTCACGAGCGTACCAAGCATATTAAAGTTCATATTCACTATATCTGTCAGTTGGTGCTTGATCGATGGATTCAGTTAGTATCTTACAACAGATGAACAACCGAAGATCTTCTCACTAAAGCAATCTCAACCAGCCGACATTGGTTTCTTCACACAAACTGATGTTGCGTCAAAGTCCATCAATTGCGTTAAAATCTAGGTTTTAGTTCTATAAATCTCATACATTAGCATCAATTTAATTAGAAACAAAAATCGACGGTCATAATTCGTCGAAATATATGCAACCAATTACATGCACAATCTTAGGTGTTATGTTTTATGATTTTGATAACTAAGACATAGGGTTCACTCATAAAGAGTTAGGGTATAGTATCATTATGCCCAAAAAATACAGTTAATTCGATGCCTAGATAGCGTTTTCTTACTCAATGTACGTCGTAACCTAAAATTTACCCAATGTACGATAAAAGTCATCGTATATATTTATATGTTGGGGGACCATATTGTATATATGTAAAACTATAAGGATTGGATGATGATTGTGCACATGCCGGTTAAGGCGTTGTGCATGGCCGGCTATGTATCCCTTCGTTATGGTTCAACGCGTGAATAAAATCAGAAAAAGAGCAACAAATTAACTAGGGCTGGTATTCGGTAACCGGTATTTGGTATAACCGGGTATTCGGTATACCAAATACCGGCGATATCGGTATTCGGCTGCCATTTTCGGACAAACGGTATACCGAATACCGATTGGTTATATACCGACGGTAAATCGGTATACCGAATACCGAATTACAAAAAAAAAAAAAAAAAGAGGAAAACGCAGCGCAGCGCTGTAGTGGAATTGGGGAAGGGGAACCCTAATTCCCTAAATGGCTTTTGCATCTGATCCCCGCGGCCCGCCCTCCAGCCTCCACCTCGTCTGTCGCTGTTCCTCTCCAAGACTCCATCCGCC